CACAGGAGGGCTTGGATGGCCGCGGGCAGGCCCTAGTCAGGGGGCTGGGAACCAGGGCACTCGACCTGTGCTCCCACACCTGCCCCTAGCTCGCCACGTGCCATCCCCGTGTATCTGCCTCCCCCCCAGTCTACCCTGACCTGCTTCACAAGGCAGTCAGGAAGCCAGCACTGCGCGAATGCTTTTACAACCCCGGATAAAAGGCACCGGCAAGTCAAGCGCTGCATCACGCCTGCTGCACATGTTACATTACAGAAACCTCCCATCCAAATAAGAGGTGATTCAGGAAAGCCGACGCTAGAGCGGTCGCGAGGGGCGACAGCTGTGACGCACCTAGAGACACCTCTAGAAGCGGCTTTGCCTCGGAAAGGTTTCAGCCAGTTCGTCCCATACAGAGACATGGATTTGTTTCCAGAATTAAATTAAAAACCCGCCCTGCCCCTCCAGCCTCCCTCCTTCGCCCTACGCAGCTATACAAGCTCAGAAGTTTTCTCTTGGCAAAATATGCGATGCCCGCGGGTCTTTAAGGCCCACCCGCGCAGGCGGCAGGAACACGGGGACAGTGCAACCCGCGGCCCGTCCCACCACCGGGATCGGAGAACGAGGAGCAGCTGTGCAGCGCTCTTATGGCCGCCGCCGCGGGGCCTCGCTCCAGAAACGCGAGCCTGCTCCCCCTGAACGCCCGCCGCGTTACAGAGACGGAGACGGACGGGAAAACCCAACGCTCGCGTCACGGTTGCAGCCGAAAGCCGACGGGAAGACCTGGGGGTGGGTCAGCTCGTCCCACGGGAGGTCGCGGCTCCTCCGAGTGCCGGGTCCTTGCCTCAAATCGCCCCTGGCCGAGATGCTCGGCAAGGCGGGGCCGGGCCGGGGCTGCGCCTTGCACGGAGGGGAGGGGACACGAGCCCCCACCGAGGGTCCCGGAGGAGCCGATCCCTGCGAGGAGGCCGAGCCGCAGCCCACGTGCAATCGCAGCCGGCTCCAGGGCGGAGGGAAGAGGCGGGGAGAGGCCAAGGGAGGAAAACGAGCAAAGAAATGGAAGGAGACGGGGGCTGAGGCCGGACCCCCGCGGGGGGCCCGAGGGAGCCGCACAAGGGGAAGGGGAAGGGGAAGGGTGCCCTCCCCGCACGCTGCCT